GGCCCCCAGCCCCTGCGCAGGGCTGAGGTGCTCTGGGTGGCCAAAATGCCCAGTCCCATGGCCACCTGGAAGTTGTGCTGCTGGGTTACACCAAGAGCACGGGACCAGGAGCCCAGAAGCTTCCACCCAAGTCCCATCCCAGTGGGAAAGCAGCCCCTCCTGCCTGGCCTGTGTCCCCACATGCTCAAGCCCTGGTCTGGCCTCTCCTGGGGCTCTTTCTGTGCAGACAGGACTCTGCTCAGGGGTTCTTCTAGTCGGCTTTCCCCTAACTCATGCCTCCCAACTTGAGGCAGCCTCTCCTAATTACAAAGACCTGTTGACATCTGAGCGAAAGTCCAGCCACCCACAGGGACAAGCACCTGGACCTGGCCACCCGTGTCAGCCCTAAGTCCATTCCTGGGGCAGAGGCAGAGCGGCAGGAGAGGAGTGGGTTTTGATGGCCGAGCCCTCGGTGGGTGGGGCTGTGAGCCTCGGGCGGGAGGGCTACTTAACAAAGAGGGGACAAACATAGCCCTGGAGCACGCCCCCATCCCCACTCCACACACCACCCCTGCTCCTGTCGGGGCGCCTACCTCGCGACTTCATGGGCCACCTGGGGCCGATGTGCCAGCCCGGGGACCTCGGCCCAGCTGGGGCCCTTCTGCTGGGCATCCCTAGGGAACAGCGGGACGCGTACCGGGGCCCCAGTACCCGTTCCGATTTAGTATTCCCGGGGGTGGGAACGCCGCGGGGACAGCGCTGGAGAATGACCCTCGCGCCGACCCCAGTCTCGCGAGTGCACATGCGCTCTGGAGGCGGCGACCCCGCCCCCGCACCCTTTCCCGTTTCCCCCCTGAACACTGACCATAGTGACCGGCGCCGTCGGGCCACGTCCCGCCCCAGCGAGGAGCGATGCGGTGCGGGAGGGTGCCGCGGGAGGCGTTGGTCGGCTCCACCGTTGGGTCGGGCGGCGGGGGCCTCGAGGGCGTGGGGGGCGTGCGGAGAATACACCCGACCGCTCCGCAAAGCAAAGGTTAGACCGCCACTGTGTCCCAGCAAGACACACGCCCTGCGATTGACGTCGGAAGTGAGCAATCAGAAGCCGGGACATAAGGCGTCACAGAAAGTGGGTGGGACTTCGCGCGCCTTCAGCCTATGTTTCAGGGCCCATTTGACAGGATGCCTCCCCTTTTTAAAGATACAGAAAGATTTTTAACTAGCCTAAGAGTTAGCCCAACCCAAAGAAGACTAGGTCCTCATTTGTCAAGCCTGAAGGGCTTTTAACTAAAATAGCAAACTGCAGTCTCCTGAAATATTAGCTGGCCCTCATTAATTCATAAACAAGGTCACATAAGTATAGTTTGCTCAAGATGAGACTAGACAAGCACTTAAGAAATATGTGTCCAATAACGTCAAGACACCTGCCACCCCTGTCTAGCCACTAATATTTTACCCCCTTCCGGCTCATGAGTCAGTAGGTTGCCATGCACCCAATTGATGTTTGTTGAATGGCTGAATTTTCAGCATGGTTGACGCTGTGGCTCTGGAATTGTAGGGGTGTGTAGGAGGAACAGACGATGAACCAGGTGTGGGTGACTCACATTGGCAAGCTCATTATTACTGGGCCTCAAACGAGGAGCATTTGTCATTTGAAGATTCATTCACTTGACCCCTGGAGGAGCTACTGTGCTGGTGGTGGGGGTGGGGGTACTCCGGCATGCATACCTCAGGGCACACACCCATTTTACGAGTACAGGTGCCAACTTGGTTCTACTTTGCCATGGTGTGAAAGCGATCACATTTGGTAGAAATAATCCTTGGAGTTTTGAATTTTGATCTTTTCTGGGCTTGGAATATTCATCTGATACTGCTTTAGGATACTGGGCAGCTCCCGGTCCACCGTGATCAGAAGGAGAAATAAGGGAGGCTCTGCCGAGTGCCGGGTGGCTAAATGGGGTGTGTGTGGATGGCAGGTGTGTTGAACACACATCTGGCTTATCATCGTCTTGATTTCAGGTGTAACCCCATCATAAGGTGGGGGCATCTGTACTAGTACTTCCAGGAGACTATTCTCCTCCCCACCCTTACCCTGTGCCCCAGGCCCCAGGCTGGGCTTCTGGGCAGACCAACACCTGTCTTCAATGGGGTATCATACAGTGGGTAGGGACCATGGGGTCAATAGAAGCTGAAGGAGCAGCAGCAATAGCAGCTGTTTGCAGGTGACACAGAGCACTCCCTGTTGGGCAGCGTCCCAAACTCTGAAGACATATTATCTTACTTGATTTTCTTAGTTCATGGGGGTAGGTCCTGTTTTTACTATCCCTATTTTACACATGAAGACATGAAGCACAGAGAGATTAAGTTATTTGCCCAAATCTACACCGCATGCAAGCAATTTTCATTTAGTCCCAGGTGTCCGACTCCAGAGCTGGTTCTGAATTCGCTCTACCGGAGCCATATGCGTGGTGGTAGGAGATGTGCATACTCCCATGCGCTTATTTGCTTTTTGGAAAGTTTCTGACTTTGTGTTTTGCTTTGAGATGGGTCTCACTACATTGTCCAGGCTGGCCTTGAACTCCTGGGCTCAAGCCATCCTCCTGCGTCGGCCCTCGTAGCTGGGACCACAGGCTGGTATTTTGTTTTGTTTTGTTTTGTTTTTTTACAGCCAGGGAAGTGACAGGAGCAGCCCAGAGCTGCAGAGCTGCTGGGTAGGTAAGGCTGGACCCCTGGACTTCTGACTCCTCCTCCATTGCTCAATTCAGGATGTGTGAGGCCTCCCTCCTCCCCCCTTGGAGGAATGACTGAGCCAGGAGTGGCTTCATGGGGTGTGCTTTGGGGTATGGGTGAGACCATGAGTCACCTCAGTTTGCCCCCTTGAACGAGCTGCATGAATACCTGAGCCCCGGGCCCACTCCCCCCGCCCCCCAGCCCCGCAGCCCCAGGCTCCTCATGGTGTGTGGAGGGAGCATGGACTGGAGTCCACAAGGAACACTGGGACCCTGGCTCTAGGTTCTGCCCTCCATGCTGTGTGTCCTCAGGCAACTCCCAGGTCCTCTCTGGGCTTCTTGTTTCTCGTTCAATGAGCAGGTGGGACAATCTGGGTGGTTATAAAAAGTTTAATAGTAGTGAGGACTTCAAACAAAATGCCCTGAATCCCAATGTATGTGAAATGGAATCTTTCTTCCGTTGAAGCTCAAATGAACAAAGAATAGCGTCATCTCTCCCGACTCTGACTACTCAGGCTTCTTCCTGAGCTTGGTGAAGGGCTGATTAGAAGGGAGAAAGGTTGACCAAGCCTCCAGTCTGTCTTCAGGGTGGCTCAGAGTTGAGAATATGAGCAGGCTCTGGGGCTGCCCTGGGAGGGTCCATGGGTCCTGCCTGGGGTGACCCATGAATCGACTCCCCTCTCCCAGCACCCCTGCTGCCCAGCATCCAGGTGCCCAGTGGGGGACAGAGGCCGTGGCTTCACCAGTCCTGGGGAGAGCGAGGCCTGGGGTGTCTCGTCCTCCAGCAGAGGACCTGGCACCTGGCTGGGCCCCCCTGGGCTGGGCTCTGCTGTCCCCGTGTCTGGGACACACGGTCTGACCTCCTAGGCCAGCCATATGCAGGCATCTCCCAGGTCGGACCCCTCACTCCCCACGTGGCCCCAGCGCACCGTTCCTGTTCTCCTCCTGACTTCCCCACTCCTCAGGGAGCTTCGGAGGATGGCGTCCAGTGCCCACAGCCTTCCCCGTGCCTTCCCACCGCTCAGCACCTGGCCCTCCCGAACGCCCGTCTCACAGACTCTGCTTCTGAAATCCCACCTTCCTTCACCGTCTGCCTCCTCCCCCAGGAAGCTTTCCCAGACTGGCCAGCAGCCATGAATCCCCCACTCCACACCGTGGAGATTCTTGTCCTCTGAGTGCTGACTCCTTGACACTGTGATTTGGAGGGGACAGCAGACATGGTGACGATGAGGGTGGGCAGTGGCACCAAACGTGTGCCAAGTTGCCTTGGCATCACCGCCTGGATGAGTCACACCTCTGAGCCTTGTTTCCGCGTCTGTAAAGTGGGGTGCCCTGATCCTGACCCTGTACTTGGTATCCAGTAAGTGCCCAGTAAATGTGGCTTTGCTTGGTAGAGGCTTGGGGCCTGACTCTTGCTCACCCCTGTGACCAAGCCTGAGGGGACAGGGAACGCTGAGGCCTGAGAGCTGCCCTGTGACATTAGAAGGTGTAGATGCACAAGTGGCAGGAGGGAGCTCCTCGAGGCTGTGTCTGCGCCTGAAAGTGGGGGTCGCCCGCCCTCCCCCAGGTAACGAGGCGGAGCTGCTGCAGGGGAGGCTCAGGCGGCCACCCCGCACTGGGGGAGCCAGGCAGCGCAGGCCCCTCCTGGGCTCTTCACCTGGTGCCATTTCGAGCACTTACTGCTTGCTCTGCCCAGCAGCTGCAGGCTCCTCGTGCTCTGCCTGGGAACCAGGAACCCCTGAGGCAAAGCACTTCGCCCCTTGTGAAGTACAGGCCCTGCGTGGTTTGGAGTTTCCATGGCCACAGGTCAGCGCTGACACCCCCTAGCCATGAGCCGGGACTGTTGGGTCTCCCCTGCTGGGAGATCAGAAAGAAGAGCTGGAGTGGCCGGCCTGGCCTCCCCTGGCCCCAGCCCCAGGGAGCAGGACCATGGGGCCCTGGACTCAGTGGGTGCCCTAGCTCCCACCCCCAGGGGCAAGTCGGGAAAAGATCTTCCCAAGAAGAAAAATGGGATCAGAGAATGGGGAGGTTGAGCTAGCTGAAAGGGAGAAGTTTCTGGAATACGGCAGGGTAGAAGGAGTGTGTCAGAAGAGAGGCATCTCCTGGGGCGGAACAGGAGACCCCCCCAGCCACCTGTCACCCACTGCATCATCAGAGGAAAGGCGTGAGCTGCCTGTACTGTTGGGCCCTGGCCTGGCAGAGACCCCCGTCCTGCCCTTGAGGACACCGGGTGGCTCAACAAGGAGTGTGGCCATCGGTCCCAGGACAGGTCATGCCATGCCCTTTTTCTGCACTGAAGGAGTTGCCGAGACCCCACAATCACCATGAGGGGGAGGAGGGAGAGGGAGCCCCCGAGGGAGGGAGACTGGCTTCTTCCCAGGGAGATGGGCACGCAGGCCGAGTCCACCAAAGGAACGAGGCTTCCTGCGCCCCGAGAGCGGGCGGCACAAACAGCTTTCTGGCCTTTCAGAAGTGAGGCAAGCATCCTGGAGGAGAAACAGTTGCCCAAGCAGTTAGCCCCACCCAGCTGTGGGTTCCTCTGCTGCACAAACAGGGCCCACAGCCCCAGAAGGACAGTGACGGGCCAGGTTCCCAGAGGACTGCCCGGCTGTGAGCTTGGGGCCTGGGCTCTGAGTTCAGAGAGCAAGGGCTGCGTGCTGAGTGGCCTCCTGGGCGAGGTGACAGATGCCCCTGGCTTCCACAGTGGGAGGAGCCTTGGCCTGGTCTCTGGAAAGCTGAGGTCAGTGGCAGGTTTCCGGGGTCCTGTCTTGGCTCCCCTGTGGCGGGACACAAAGTCCTGTTGCCTTTTGTCCCCAGGGACCCTCCCTGCTCTCCTGAGCCCTTGAGTAACACTCCCTTGAGGATGGAATGGACCAAGCCACTCACCTCTGATCAACAGCGCACAGCTGCCGCCAGAGCAGGGCACAGCCTGTCTCCGCGGTCGGCCCGCCCCGCTGACCGTGCTGTTCCTCAAGAGCAGGCCGCCAGGAGGTTCTCCTGCAGGAACCAGCGGAGACCAGCCGGGTGCAAGATGGCTGCCCAGGGCCTCTGACAGACCCGAGCCTCCTTATCATCTAATCTCCATGCCCAATGACACCCAGCGGGGCCAGGACCGTTGACCATGGCCATGGTCGCGGCCAGGAAGGACCAGACAGGGAAAGACACCAGGTGGTGCCTGGTCGCCGAAACTGCACCCCCTTCCTGAAAACCTGGTGCCACCCCTCCTGCCAAGCTCTGCAGCCCGTATCTGGCTCTGCCTCCCCTGGGGGTGGGGAGGTTGGTCCCCGAGCCAGGCTCCTGCTGCCCCCTTCTTTGGCCACAGAATAGAACTTTGCTCTTGATGCTGGACTTCAGACCTGTTCTTGGCTCCACAAAACCTGCGGGGAAAGGACCCTCCTGTGAGGCTCTCCCTCGCAGCGGGGCTGCCTTCCATTGGCCACACAACCACGGTGACGAATGTCATTGCCAAGATTAGGTTCCCAAAAGCCTGTGGCCTGGCTTGCTCGGTCCCCTTGTTCTCTCACCTTCTCATGAAGTGAGCAGATCCGGGTGACCCTCTGGAGGCCCTCGATCACCAGCCTGTGAGAACCTCAGCTCCCCACAGCCTCGCCCATGAGCTTCAGGCCTGGCTTCCTCCAGATCCCCCGCTGAGCCTCCAGGGGAGACCACAGCTCTGGCCAGCAGCTTGATAGACACTCATGGAGGACCCTGAGCCAGGGGACCCAGCTAAGCTGTGCCCAGATCCCTGCCTGAAGCACACTGGTTCTGCTGCGCTCTGGGCAAGTCCGCCCACAGTGTGCGATGACACAGGAGCCTCCCTGGCTGCCCGCCTGCCGTGGCCCCAGGCGTTCATCGGCACCTGTGCACGGCACATGGCTGACCCTGAGTGCTAGCCAAGGTTCCTCTGTACCCCACCAAATATCCCTCACTTTGGGCTCCTACACATTCCTTAAATTTTCACTTAGATATTAATTTCTTTGCTTAAGACTTTCATTCGTGCATTCACCATTTACTCTGTGCCTGTGTTCATCTGACACATTCACGGAGGGATGTTCTGTGCCAGTTTGCCCGCTGGGTGGGTGCTGTGTGTGGTAGGACGGAGCCTTTCTTCCTGAGAACTCCTCGAGGGAAGGGGCGAAGAGTCTGGGTGACACAGTGGAGACTGAGCACGCAGTACTCTAGGGAGGGCGCCTTGGGGAGGGGCTGGGGCCAGGGGAGAGCTCTGCTTGGAGTGCTTCATGGCGGAGGAGGTGAGGCTTGAAGAGAGAACAGAGGAGGACACCAGGGCGGAAGGGGGCTGCTCAGAAGCACACGTGGTAGGGTACTTGCCCCCGCCACTCCCCCGGGTCCTGCAGCGTGAGCTCAGGAGTGGCGGCAGGCAGCGGGCAGTGACAAGCGGCTGGCATCCCCAGCCCTGCAGGGGAGCTCAGAAGCAGAGAGCTGCCCCAGCCCTCCACGTGGCCTGCCGTCCCCAGGTCCCTCCCTCCCTGGAGGGCGATGCCAGGCTCAGCTCCGCCAAGGAGAGCCACGCCTTCGGGCTCCACCAGGCGCTGCCACCAGGACACTTGTGAGAAGGCTCGGGCTGCCTCTCCCAGGCTCCCAGGAGGTGCCCAGATGCAGGTCCTCCGCCACACTGAGCAGCAGGGCCTTCAGGAGCACACGCCTCCCTCGCTCCACCCAGGGACGCCACCCAGACTCCGCTACAGTCCTTCAGCCTGCAGTGGCCGAGAGCCCCCACTGTAAAAGGAGCCCTGGGGCCTGTCCCCACGAGCCCTTGGCCAGGCCGCAGCTCCCTGAGCCTCCTTGTTCTCATGCGCACTAGGGATGTTCATGTTGGAACCCGATGCACTCGAGTGCGTGACACCCATAAAAGGGAGGCAGGAGTACGATGCCTCTGCTCAGGAGCATGGGGATGGCCCCGGGAGGCACGTGCCAGCAGCACTCGGGCACCTTATCTGGAAGCTCTCACAGTGGGGGCCATCGGGAGCCCCATTCACCACACCCCTTCCACACCCATCCAGCTCCAGCCAGGCACAGGGAGCCACCTCCCGCCCCCAGTGTCTGCCCCTTCCACGGTGCCCAACAGCAGGGGCCCCGGGTGCCCACTCTTGCACTCTGTGGGTTCAGCACTTCACACGTGACCGTGTCTGTGGAAAGCCCAACAGCTGCCCATGAGGGTGAGAGCCCCGGGAGGCAGAGGCAGGCAGAGGAACCCACAGGTGTGAGGATGTGGAGAAGTTCCCCCGGAGCGCCATGGGCCAGGCTGGCACCTGCAGCCTCAGGACACAAACCTCCAAGGGACCCCGCCCTTCCTGACCCAGGGCAGGACGGGACAGGACATGGAGCCCTGTGTGAGGGGCAGGGGTGAAGGTTGGGGTGCCTGGCCCCTCCCCAGCTGGCCGTGGTAAGGAAGCCTCTTCCAGATGTTTCCTGGAAACAGTCTGCTAGCCTCCTTACCTGGGGAGCAGAATCAGAATAGGACACCAAGTTTCAAGGCTAGAGAACGGGGAGGACCTACTCAGAGAGTAGGGGCCGGTGGAGGGGGCACCAGAGGTGATAGATGCACTTTGAGGAAAGAAAATGGGCAGGTTCCAAGAGCCCTGAAGACAGTCGTGTGGGTGAAAGACCTGACAATGAGCCCTGATCTTGGGGACACCCAGCTTAGGGTCAGTGAGATGCAAGAACAGTTGGTTTCCAATTTTCAAAACAAAATGTATTTTATAAAAGTTAAACATGGAAACTTTGGAAAACATACAAAAGAAAAAGAATTATACAGAAGAAAATAGAAAACCAGAATCCTCTGATATAGAGCTAACTGCTATCACCCGTGGCAGAGTCTTTCCCTACTTCTAAGTACCCCAGCTTTCTGGGGTACACCATTCCATCAGGTGGACTGGCTCCCCGTGTGAGGTGACTCTTAGTTTGGAGAGACATGGAATGTGAATGAGTATGTGGGTGTATCAGACAGTTATTGCTGTGTGACAAACAGCCCCAATCTTTCACTGGCTTATACTCATAACCATTTATTTCTCTCTGATGGGCCTGTGGGTTGACTGATGACTGGATTATTCAGGTGAATCCGTGTTACAGGTTGACTCTGTATCTGTTCCAGGTGGCCTTCATCCTCCTGAAACCAGGGAACATTCTCACCAGTCAAGCTCACCGGTAGTGAGCTGCCCTGCACAGTCATGTTTTAAACTTTGGCTGGTGTCATAATCCACTTGCATCTTATTGGCCAAAGCAAGTCACATGGCCAACTCAAAGTCAAGAGGTGGAAATGCATACTCTGTCCACCAGGGGGCGCTGGCTCAAGGATGGGTGTATGTGACCCCAGGGTGGCAACTTGGGAACAATTATTCAACCTGCCACAATGGGTGAGTCTCGTATTTGCTACTGCCTCATAGGGCCAGGATCCTCTCTCTCAGAAGCAACTCTCTGGTGTACACCTGGCTCTGTGCACCTGCAGATTCGGAGCAACTGCCAATTGAGAATGTTTGAGAGAAACATGCATCTGTCTGGACATGCACAGACTTTTTTTCCTGTCATATTCTCTAAACAATACAATAACTGCCCCCATAGCATTTACATTCTCATGAGCCATCTAGAGATGATTTAAAGGATACAAGAAGATGTGAGCAGGTTATATGGAAATACTACACCATTTTATATAAAGAACTTGAACGCCCTTTGATTAGGGTATCTTTGGGGGTTCTGAAACGAATTCCCTGAGGATACCAAGAGTGTTTCTTTCTACTCTTTTTTGTGGGGGTGGGCGGATACTAGGGATTGAACTCAGGGGCACTCGACCACTGAGCCCCATCCCCAGCCCTATTTTGTATTTTATTTAGAGACAGGGTCTCACTGAGTTGCTTAGGGCCTCGCTTTTGCTGAGGCTGGCTTTGAACTCGGGATCCTCCTGCCTCAGCCTCCCGAGCCGCTGGGATTACAGGTGTGTGCCACCGTGCCCGGCTCTACACTTTTATACATATATTTTTTTTAGTAAATTTGGCTTATGTTCTTCCTTCCTTTTTCCCACTTATTTTTATGCCCTAGAGAGAGTTTTCCTTAAACAGCTTTGAAAACATGTGATGGCTGCAGAATCATAAAGTTTTATCATAATTTCCAGGGCTTTCCCTCTGGGGTGTATCATTGCATTTTCCTGTTTGGGCTGCTATACACAATGGTGTGATGGACATCTTGGTAGAGAACCGTAGTCACCTCTGTCCCGAGCATATCTGTGTCTGCTTGCCTGGCACCTGGTCCTGTCTCCCTCTGATGACAGTGTCCTGATTTCCCTTTGGGGGAGCCCCTTCCCTTTCGCTCAGTCCATGGGGCTCACGTGGCACACACCACTGGCCCCAGGGGAATGGCTGCTAGCCATGGAAGATGTTCCATCTCCCCAAAGCTCAAAAATTGGACCCCAGTCAGAGAGGTTAGTTCAGGAATGGACCTGTAGACTAGGCCTGGCCAATGAGTCATTTGTGGAAAGGGGGACATGATGACCCAATCACGGTGAATCCTGGGACTTGCTCAGGAGCATGTGGAAAGAGACTATTTCTCCTTTCCCCTGACTCTGCCTTCAGAGCTTGCAGGGCCGAGGCTGCTGGGGGCCAGCTTGTCCATGCTGAGCCTGAGGATGAAGCCGGACGCCAGAGAGGACTCCGTTGACAGGCGCTCCCAGATGAAGCTGTGCTTCAAGCTAGACTCTCTGGTCTTTTACTCCGACAGCTCCATGAATCATCTTTTATCCTAAGCCAAGTTGAATTGGTCTTTCATTTGGAACCAAATAGCTCTGGCTTTATTAACTTCAGTTCTTGAGCTAGAATCATAGAGCAAGGGACATGAACCCTTTGGACCTCTTATCAAATGACTTTCCAGAGAGTTTATGCAAATAGGACTACAGTATCAGAGAGCCTATTTTACAAGCATTTGAATATTAGCTTGATTTTTTTTTGATGGGCAAAAACTATATGGTTGAAACATTTTTCATGTTTGGAGAACGCTTTTATTTATTTTGTGATTTGCCTATGAAAGATTGGCAATGGTTTTGTTTTTATCTGTAAGAGCTCAGTAAATACCAAACATTTCCCCGGTTTATTGTTTTCAGGTATCTGGATATTTTGATGCTGTTCCAGTCTTCATGAGATCCGGCTGTCTGTGTCACTCATGCTGATCTCATGTTTCCAAGTCCTTCCCGACGATGACCACAAAATATGGACCAAAATTCCTCTTTAATGTTGAAATACCCAGTGTTCCTCACTCTGGGATCTGAGAGCCGTTGGCACCGGAACCACCCGGGAGCTTCCTAAAATTCCTGACTTCTAGGCCCTGACATAGATGTAGAATCTCTGAGAATTCAGCCCCGGGCACCTCCATTTTCGGCAAGTGTCACATTAAAGAGTGTTCAACCACACCCAAAGGGACTGGAGTAGACTCCAGTGTACGGGATGGGAAAAGGACACAGATGGACCCTCCCCCGAGAGCCGGTTTCCTAGGCCCAGCTTTGACGTCACCCCCCTCCTCCAGCGTGGAGGGGAAGGTCCTCAGGCTCCAAGTTGCTCAAAGCTGGAATTTGTCAGCAGGTCTGGTCCTCAGAAATTGTCTGGTGTGTCCTGGGGTCCCAGGGCCCAGCTGTGGGGTCAGGTGGGATGGACTTCCTAAGGGACATCACACTGCAGGGGGGAGCTTTAAAGGGGCGGGGGCAGGGCAGAGAGAACTTTCTTATCCCTGGACAGTGTGACAACCCAGAAGGGCCAGCCCCAGCATTCTGGCACAGGCCGGTGAATCCCGCCTCTTAAAGGGCAACTCCCTGGCCTCCAGGCTGTTCAAGCTGGTCTTCAGGACGCAGGCGCAGAACCCAAGGACGAGACCAAAGTCTCCGACAAGTGCAACCTCAAGGACGAGAACAGGCCTCGGACTAGGGACCAGGTCAGAAGCCAGCCATGTCCAACCCTCAACCCGGTCAGTAATGGAGAGACCGAAGCTCCCCAACTTCAAAGCAGCTGCCAGTCCCCCCCTGGACGTTGCGCTGACTTCTGCCAAGACCCCGGGTCACACCAGGCTGCCCTCTTTCCCCTTTCCCCAGGGCCACGTAAATTCCCTCTTGTCTGACCACTCAGGGTCAGATTCAAGCGCACCTCCTGTCTCCCGTCAACCTTGAATAAAGTGCCTTCGGCAGGGACCCGGGCCAGAGTGCTGGCTTCTACACACGTAGGACAGCGAGGCCTGGGTCGAGTCCCCCGCAGCCCCCGACAGCAGCCCCACTAGGTGCCCTGTGCCACCTGTCAATTCCATGGCCCAGGAGAGGCAGGGGCTCCTCAGAGAGCCAGCTGAGGGCATAGACTGATATCCCGGCCACCACAACCCAGGACATGTCCTGTCATCCCTCGGCAGTGTGACAAAACGTGGGAACCAGACCAGCAAATGCACAGCAGGCAGATGAAAGGGGACAGACAGGACAACCAGCCGTCCACAGAGCCCCACAGGCACAGCCACAGAGCCAGAGATGGGCCTAGGGGACACTGTTCTCCAGTCCCTCCCAGGAGGCCAGACCAGCAGGTGGCCCTCCCCTCAGGACGCAGGTGGAAATCCAAAGTCCAGGCAGCGGTATCGGTGGCCCTGCTGGGGCAGATCCTGGGGCAGGTCTAGAGCAGAGGTTCTCAAGCTGTGCTCTGGGGACCCACAGCAGGGACATCACTGCAGGACTTGCGAGGGATGTGCATTGCAAGTCTGGCCTCAGCCCAGCTATCCACACTGGAAGCTTAGTGGGACGCACCCCTTAGGTCTCTTCGGAAAGAGCAGGGGAGAAAGGGAACCGAGGGGCTCCGACCACGTCCCCGCATGGAAGCGCCTCACCACAGACCTTTTTTCTCAAAAGTTTTTATTTTGAGAGAGGGTCTCTCTAAGTTGCTGGGGCTGGCTTTAAACTTGCAATCCTCCTGCCTCGGCCTCCCAAGTCACTGGGGTGACAGGCACAGCCACTGTACCCAGCCTTGTTTCTCTTTTCAAACCACTTTCAAGACCTGCCCGGGCTCCGCCTTCTACACGGTGCTTAGCCTCCTAATGAATTCAGGGCCAAGACCTGCTCAAGGTTCCCCACCCGTGCCTCCCTCGGGACCTGGAAGAGCGTGGACCCAGCTCCACTGACCAAGCATCAGTTCTAAGCTCCCTGGTTTACAGATCATCTGCCCCTAACCCTAACCTTCAGCTGAATAAACGATGTAGGAACAATAAATTGGCTTGACCTCATTGGCATGGCCCCAGAGGTCATTTCAGGGCCGTGGGGGTTGCTGCATGGTTTTGCCCTGGCGACAGCAGGAGGAAGCCAAGCCAGTGTCCACTTAGATGGACCTTCTCCAAGCTTGACCTGAGAACGTCGGGCTGCAGGGGGCCAGGTCGGGGACTCCCTAGGCTTTTACAGGCCAGAGAGAGGCTTGCCCTGCCAGGTGCCCCTGAGAGCAGCCTCCACCCTGACCCTCAGGGGGGCGTGGAAGGCCCTCTGCAGACTCAGCACCGCGTCAGGGATCCTGTCACCTCCTGCCTGTCCCATGGCCGGTGGTGCTTTCCAGATTTGTTGGGACTCAGAGCTGGCCATAGCAAGTGGGCATCGGGAGCTCGGTCTCAGGAGCCACCTCATGGTGCGGGTCTGGAGCCAGGTTCTCTAGTGACAGTGAGAAACGCAGCCTGGGTTCCTGGGTGTGCGGCTGCCACCCGGGACCCCTGCTTGGCTGCCACCACCCTCTTCCTCTTCTCTGCTTGACCCAGGCAGGCCCCGACTCCATCCCTGCCACCCTTCCCCAGCTGGCCCCAGGACCCTGCCCACCCCCCTCTGCCCCCAGGACCCTGCCCACCCCCTCTGCCCCCACTCTCCCCTGCCCCGTGGGCTGGCGGTGGTGAGAAAAGAGGCGAGGTGGGTACAGGACTGGTCCTGATGCTGTGGGCCCTGGGTGAGGGCTGGAGCACTCGGAGGCCTGGGCACCGAGAACGGGGGTCCGGGGGGTGCTGGGGGGCGGATCCTGCTTCTTTGGAAAGCTCCTGCAGGGCTTGGGGAAGCTCCCGGGCGCCGGGTCCTTGGCACTGTCTGCTGCCCAGCACTCTCTGGGTTCTGTGAGCAGTGAGTTCGTCCTCACCATCTCCATTGTGTCCAACATGAATTCCTGCAAAGGGACATCAGTCTCTCACCCAACAGGGCTCTGGCCCCTGGACACCACTTCCCAGGGACCAGAACACTGTCCTGTCCGAGGCTGGCCTGCGTCTCCCACAACTCTCAAAAGGACGGGGTGCAGTGCCTCTGGGAAAATGAGCAAACCGAGGCTTAGAGAGGTCGTGTGACTTGCTGAAGTTGCACAGCCTAGGAGGGGCAGATGACTTCCTGAATACGGCCACCTGCCCCTTCTCATTGCTCCCTCTAGGCTCCCACTAGACGGTGCCCTCTCCCTCTCTGAAGGACCAGGTGAGTCTTTCTCTGTCCCCACCTCCAAACCTGTCAATGCTGAGCACATCTGGGTGACTTCATTAGTGTTGGCTGAGGACTGACAGATTGACCCCGAAGCCTGATGTGATTGCTATGGGGAGGGCCCTGGGGACCCCCTGACATTACCTTGTCATTTCTTCTGTTTTCTTGGGGAGAAAATTGAGTGAATATGCTGTGGCTACTTAGATGAACGTGCCCTTACTCAGCAGAGACGTTCCTACAGCACGTGAGGGAGTCACAGCCTGGGGCTGCCAGCCAGACAGACCAGCTGGATGTGCCCCAAGTCGAGTCTCATGGCAGCCTTGAATTGGCCTGAAAGACTCCTGTGACAAGTCCCTCTCGAGGGGACTCTTGCTGGCTGCTGCTGACAGGGGACCCCAGAGAAGGGCTCTGCCCATAAGTGCCCTGAGCTAGGAATCCTGGGACGGGGCGTCTCCCTGAGCCGGCCTCCAATGCAAGTCTGGATGCAGGAAGGAGCCAGAGCAGAAGAGGACGGACAGGAGGGGGAGGGTCCCCATGTGCCACTGAGCCTTGGTGCCTATCCCCCACCCTGGGCATCAGACTTGCACTGGGGACTGAGCCACTGGGGCCCGGCTGAGCCCAACAACCTTGGCAGAGAACGAAGGCGAGCGCCCATGCTTCCAACTCCAGCACTTACCCAAGGGCTGGTGTCACTCGGGGTGGAGTCTTGCCTAGTGTGTGCCAGGCCCTGGGTGACCCCCAACATACCCCCCCCGCCCCAATCACTACAGAGCCACAGCATCAGGACAAGTGGTGCAGACAAAAGAAGAGACGTTAGGCCAGGTGCAGTGACACATGTCTGTGATCCCAGGGGCTCTGGAGGCTGAGGCAGGAGGATCGCGAGTTCAGAGGCAGCCTCAGCAACTGTGAGGCTCTAAGCAACTCAGTGAGACCCTGTCTCTAAATAAAACAAAATAGGGCTGGGGTGTAGCTCCGTGGTCGAGTGGCCCTGAGTTCAATCCATACCCCCCCTCCCCTCCAAAAAGAAGAGGAGAGACATGTAAATCCATGGAACAGAGCTGAGCGTCCAGAAGCAGACTTCCTGTTCACAGTCGACTGATCTCTGACGGAGTTACAAGACAATTCAATGGGGGAAAGAATTGTTTTTTTAAAAAAAAAGAAAAAATGGCATCAGAACAAGTGGCCAGCTTCCTGCAAGGTTGGAGTCGGAGCCCCGCCCCACACGGATCAAAATCAGGAGAGCAAGACGGCCACACACCAGAAATAGGTGTGAATCTCGTGGCCTTGGCCGAGGACTGGTTTCTTAGACACGACCCACAAAGCACCAGCAAACAAACCACCAAAGTGAAAACATTGGATCATCAACATTTAAAAAAATCTGTGCTTCCAAGAACACCATTAGAAAGGTAGAAGACCCTCCCAGGACGGGAGAGGTTTTCAAATCCCTTGTTTGCTAAAGGACCTGCATCCAGAGTATATAAGGAATTCTTACAACCCAGCTACAAAAAGATGAATAGCTATATTTTTTAACAGGCAAAGAATTTCAATATATATTTCTCCAAAGAACAAGAGACTCACAGCCGATAAGCACATAAAAAAAAATGCCCGGCCTCATCAGGAAAATGCAAACAGAAACCAAGGTACCAAGGTGAGATTCCACTTGCTCCACACCCACCAGGACGGCTCAATGACACAGCCAGTGCCTAGGTTGGCAGAGGGGTGGAGACATCGGGACCCCCGGGCATCGATCCTGGGTTGTTCAAACACTTCGGCAGTTCCTCAAAATGGAAATAGAGCTATGACGGCAATGCCACTCCTGGGCATGTACCCAGGTGCCCGAGAGCACTGAAAACATGTCCGAATAAAAACCTGTTTGCTGATGTTCAGAGCAGCAAGTTCACCAGCCCAAAGTGGGAACAGCCCAAACATCCATCAAGTAATGAATGGAGAAGAACAGATGTGCCTTATCCACACAGTGGAGTACTACCCAGCCATAAACAATGACGAAGGAGTCGATGCGGGCTACAATGTGGCTGAACCTCAAGAACCCGGGGCTGAGGAAAAGCAGCCAGATGTCAAGTGCATCTTCTGGGGAGACAAACGTGTTCTGGAGCTCGCCCCTGTGAGGGCGTGTGATTCTGAGTGTGCTGCAGACACTGAAGCATCTACTTCATTTGGTCCCTGCGGGAGCAACCACGAGAGGGACCAGATGAACTTGGCTGAACTTGGCTCAGCACTGAGGTTTCACCTGAAGATCCAGCGCAGAAGGCCCCTCACTCCCTAGAACGCTTCCTTCTGGTGCACTCGTGTGTGTAATTGTGTGACCCTACCTGGGTCTGTGTGTGTGCGAGTGTTCAGGTGTGTCTGTGTTTCACGAGTATTGTTGGTGTGCAAAGAGCAACATTCGTGTCTGCATTGTGTGTATGCTGTGTGAGTGTGAGTGTGTGTGTGAGTGTGTGTGTGTGTGTGTGTGTGTGTGTGTGGTGGTGGTGACGTCCAGGGGGCTGCACATAAAGATCAGGCCCGACAGGAGTTCCCCTGTGCACCCACCCTGACCCCGTCACCTGATGGGGCTCAAGTTCATTGACAGACTCGGGGGCCTTGGGTTCTAAGCACCGGGACCACGTAGCCGTGAGGGAGGGCTGGTGGGGGCCGTGGGTGAAGGCCCAGGACAGGGGCCTGCAGGGGGTGGGGGGCAGTGGCCAGCCCCTGGCCTCACCTTAATCCATTCGAGCTTGGAGAAGAGGCCCAGGCTCTCGGGCACTCTGTGGGCCGCGCGGCTGCACTGCCGGGCCATGTTGTCCACGGTCAGTTGCAGGTAGTCCAGCAGCTCGCCCTGCAGGAGGAGGACCGAGGCTCAGGCCCCACCAGCTGCCCGCCCCTGCCCCAGCTCACGCAGGAGCCTGGAGCCCCCTCCACCTGCTTGTATTCTGCTCCCGGGGCTTGGAAGAGCCTCTCCCCACAGAGCCCAGGTCCTCCTCTCAGAGGAGACATCTGCGCGACTCCCCCCGGGGCAGGGGGCTGCGAGTGGGCCTAGAGGAACCTGAACCTCCAGCAACACGGTCAGGTGCTGCGGCCAGGACTCCACGACTGTCCAGTCCAGCTGCCGCCACAGCCGGCCCGCAGATCTTGCCCACCCAGGTCCCACAGGCACAGTCCACGGGGCCAAGAAGTCCCGCACTCACTCAGTGACCGTGTCCCGCCATGGGAGGGAGCCCGCACAGTGCTCAGCCCCGAGCCTGGGCCCCCGCTGACCTCTCAGCAGTCCCTGAGGCTGGAAGGGTGCAGGCTGTTGGCTCTGGCTACCGTGAGGACCCGGGGCTCTGGGGGGAGCTAGCCACGTCCCTGAGGCCAGCAAGGGGCGGAGCAGAGCTGGACACTTGGCACCTGGTCAGGACTTTGGCCCTGCGCTCAGCACAGCCAGGCCATGGCCAGAGAGACACCAGGTGACCTACGACGTTGCACAGTAACTCACTTAAAATACCATTATTGGCCCAAAAAATCACATAAGGTTTGACTACGCGCCTGGCACAATCCCAGGCCCGGGACAGGCCAGCGGGCCCAGCCCTGCTTCTCCACAGAGCTTGGTCCTTAACTGTCTGTCTCCCCATCTTAGCTGAGGAGAGACAGTGGTGTGTGTGTGTGTGTGTGTGTGTGTGTGTGTGTGTGTGTGTGTGTGCAAGTCTCTGTGTGTTTTTGTGTGTCTGTACTTGTCTCTGTATGTCTGTGTGTGCGTCTGTCTGTGTGCCAGTCTGTATGTCCTTGTTTCTCGGTGTCTCCATGTCTGTGTCTGTCTGTCTGTCTGTCTGTGCTGGTGGGATGGTTGGTTGAGGAGGCAGGGGTCCCACCCCCAGGCCAGCAGACAGGACTCACACTGTATTTCCGGTTGTGTGGATGTGGGTCCACGCCCACGTCTTTCTGGTAGCTGATGCTGTGTTTCAGCCTCTGCCACTGCGTGCTGTGACACTTCTTCTGCAGCTGACACAGCTGGATCTTGAGGCTCTGTGGTGAGAGGCCTGGGTCATCGTGGGGCAGCAGACTCTTGGGGGCATCTGCCTGGGCCACCCCGAGAAGCTCCCTGCCCACCATGGTCTGAGTGGCTGGCGCTGCTCAAGGCCCGGGAGACGCGGGAAGGGCCTGCCCGGGGCCTGGTGTCCCTCACCCGAGCCAGAGCCGGCAGGCTGCGTGCTCCGGCCTTGACCTGCTGAGCGGCACCGGGACCCAGCTGGCCCCGGCCCTGGCCCAGCCGGACTCTGGGCTGCGAGGGGGAGACGCGGGGCAGACACAGCCTCACTTTCTGGCCTTTCCTTTTGCTTCAAAAACGAGAACAGTGCAGCTGCGACTGAAGGCGAGACTTCAGCCCCTTCCCCAAATATGAGTGGTTAGATGAGGGCTGTTCCACGCAGTGTTCTGAGCTATTAGAGGTCACAGGGAAGGGACACAGGGAACAGGATTCCACCTCGTGGGTGAGGACAGCATTCAACCGAGCCTTGCTTGATCTCCTCTCAAATCTCCCAGGAATAACAGCCCCTTCTCCTGCAGGTGCTGGAGGGAGGTTTAAATGAGACGAAGCTCATTTAGGTGCTTCTCCCAGTGTCCAGCACCTGCTGGATCCCGCCCTCAAAGGAAAAGAAACTTCCAAGAGGCGTACTTTTGCAGCACTGCCACTAGGGGGCAGAGACGCTCCAGACATCCCACAGTGGCCCTCTGGGACAAACCAAGCAACTGGTCACACTTCCTCACGTGGCGATGGCAGTGTAGGCTCCATGACGCCCTGCCTTTGCTGGGTGGGCTCCCCCACGGACGTGTGCCCCCTCCAGCAAGAGCACTTCATGTGACACAGTTTGTGTTTGGTGTCTCACGAGAGGGTGTGTCGGCCCCATTTGACAGACAGGGAGACTGAGGCTCAGACAGGACACAAACCCTGCAGCTGGTCAGGGGTGGCCTGGGATGGGAAGCCCAGTCTGTCTGACTCCAGAGCTCTTGGATTTCCTACCCCTCGGAAGGCCCTTGAAGCACAGGCAGAGTGACAGGGAGGGAGGAGACCCCAGGTCCCCTGGGGTGGACAGGAAATGGGTCCCCAGCCGCTCTGGGCCGAGGTGACCGGCTCCAGGTAGCACCTACCGGCACCAGGGTCCTGTGGCCCTCCTCCAGGAACTCCAGGCTCTGGAGGAGGGCCTGGTTCATCTGGGAGAAAGTGTCCAGGCACTTGCGGGCCTCCTGGCTGGCCGTGAGGAGCCGCCCGTAGTGCCGCACCATGGCCTCCACCAGGGCCGACTCCGGCTCCTCCCGAAGGCTGCTCTCTGTGGGGACAGGGAGGGTGGCAGGGGCGGGCGCTGACCAGGTGGGTGGGGTGTCTGCTGCTGAGCCCCGAGTTGAGCAGCCCCACACCCACCCTTGGCTTGGCACCCGAGGCCCTGCCCCAGCCACCCCCCCAGCAGCCCTGCCAGCTCCTGCATGGAACCCACCAGCCCCAAACCTGCCACTGTGCCCCGGGGCTGCAGCCCAGCCCCGTACATGCTCTTTGCTGAGTTCATCTGAGCCCCGAGAGAGGTGGCCTCCTCTGTGAAGCCTTTTCTGACCCTCAGGCGGGGTTAGGGCTCCCACAGCCCTGGCCAGTACCTTTAATATGGCCCTGAGCACAGCGGCTGTGAAGACAGATGGATCAGAGGCTGCACCTAGCCCACCACTTCCTGGCTGTGTGATCTTGGGCAAGTTCCTTACCCTCTCTGAACCTGGGTAGCACAGTAGCCCAAGGCTGGGAAGGAGGTGTAATAAAGATTTGCTAAAGAGCTTACCACAGAGTAAATACTTAATCAATGTTGATCATTATTTTTTATTTTTGATAATATTAAAATAATAAATAATTAAAGGTTTTGTCTCTCCTTTTCTAACAAACTTCCAACACTTATAACAGTGGACCCTGGAACAAATTATGATAAGACAAAATAATGCCATATCCCCTTCAAACACCCACTCTTAGTCCACAATAGCAAAACCAAAATGCCACAGACAGACAAAATACCGCTGTCCATCAGTATCCCAGGGGCACTGGTTCTAGGACCCCCGTGGTCACCAAAATCTGAGGCTGCTCAAGTCCCTTATGTGAGATGACGTTGCCTTCACCTAGAACCCGCAGGTCCCGTGTGGCCTTGAAATCTGAGTAATGCCTGAGGGACGCGAGGGTCCGTGAGCTGTGGCCTGTTGCTCAGGAGCCAGGGCAAGGCGGGGCGTTGGGCTGGGTGTGATTTGTGCGTGGTCTGCACCTGGGGTTGGCCAGTTCTGCGGATGCGCAGAGACCCGCGGTGGTTGTCCCCGTGGCTCACGTGGCTGGGCGTGGAACGCGGCCCTGGGCTCCTTGCGTGGAGGAATCAGTCTATTTGGTCACCGTCACTAGAGCTGTTTCCATTAGCCTGAGAGCCAGGGGTGAGCCGGGGCCCGGGCGGGGACCAGGAGGGGGACTCGGCCCTTCTCAGCCACGGTGGTGGCCTTCGCGCTTCCCGGTCAGCGAGGAGCCCCTTGGCGCGGCCCCAGCCCTGGAGGCCCCAGGAGGCGCCGTACCTTTGGGGATTTTCTGGAGGACCTTCATCAGGTAGTCCTCAAACACCTTGTGCCTCTGCACGGCTCTCTTCAGCTTCCTCTGCCTGTGGGGCCAGCGGCAAGGACGTGGCGTGGGACCCCGGTCCTGCATGGCCCCTTACCAGGGCCACCTCTGTGGGTTCCTGCTGGGCCCTGTGCTGAGCTGGCCACTTCCTGCCCATCAGTCCGCCACGGGCCTCTCATCCCGTCTTACTGCTGAGCAAACTGGGTCCCAGACAGGCGCGGGGTGCGGGGTGGGGGTGGGCAGCCGCCTCTGTCTGGTGTGGTCTACAAACCCCTCCTGGAGGTGGTGGCCACGGCCCGTCCAGGAGGCAGACCCCCCCACCCTGGCCAGGTGCGCCACCTCCCTGGGCCTGGGTTCTCCACGGGCAATGGTGGAGAGAACCCCACAGCGGGCCAGGACCACGTGGCAGGGAGGTGGCCCCAGTCTGCCCCTGTGCTGACTCTTGGAGGAACTCTAAGCAAGCAGCGTCCAGTAGGTGGCCTACCTGGGCCCCGTCAAGGTCAGCGCTGGAGGGCAGAGGGCAGGGCCGGGCCAGCCCCAGTCTGCCTCTGCAAACAGGGGCTGTAGTGGCTTCTCGGAGTGACCCCCAGGGACCCAGGCAAGCCCCTCTACCTCTCTGGGGCATGCAGGGGGAGTTGTCTGTCTCAGTACCTCGTGCCCCGCGCCCCCGCCCTCGCCCTTCCTGGGGCCCGTCCCTTCCCATCTACTCGGGCTGTGAGAGCAGCCTCCACTTAAGGCCCAAGTGGAGGGCGAGGACCAGGGTCTCCACTCAGGACCGGCTCCACCTCGCAGATGGACTTCCTGGGGGTCAAGCTGACAGGTGCACTGGGATGGCCACCTGCAGCCCCTCCTTCATGAGGAGGTCACTCAGCCCCGGAGGGCAGGGACTGGCCAGGATCTGAGGTCATCCAGGGGTGGTGGCCACGCCTCCCCCTCTCCTGCCACAGCTGGGTCGATTTCAAGGCTTTGCTGCCTGCCCCCGTCCCTTCCCTGGCCCGGCCTCTATGGGGCAGTTCTGCACGTCCCGGCCCCTGGGCTCACTGTGGCTGGCGCTGGGGCTGGGGCCAAGGCAGGGCACAGCAGGCCCTGGGACCACACGTACTTGGCCTGCAGCTGGCAGAGCTCCTGCAGCAGCACCTGCAGGTCCCCGTCCTTGTCACCAGGATCGCTTGGGTCAGCTCCTTGGGCTGTGTCCATGGCACCAGAATTGCCCCTCAGCACCCCAGGCCACGCGGGATGGAGGAGGGGTCGCGGGTCAGAACGGTCACAGCCGTGGCTTCCTCCTCATGCTCCCGACAGTCCTCTGCAGCCGGTTAGCAATCCCGCTACACAGGGAAGGAAGCGAGGCTCAGAGAGGGCTGGGACCCACTCCAGGTCACACAGCAGAACTAGGTTTGGACTCTGGGCTCATTGAATCTGAAGTCCAGGGCCTTTGGGATATAGGACTGAGAGTGCCGCCCTGCAGTGGCATTATCACCCCGGCCACCTCACAACTGGTAGGGCCCCATCAGCCCCAGATCTTCCAAGAGGGGCTGACTTCCAGCAGCATCTGGGAAAGAGGTTGGGCTGAGAGCAGGGCTGGCTCAGAGGGCCCTCATGACAGCTCCGTGCCCACCGCCCGCCCACCCACTGGGCACCACTCATGTGTGCCTGCTGGAGAGCTGGGCTGGGGCTGAGAGGGACACCTCCAACGAGCTGCAGCCCAAGGGGGCGAGGGCGGCTAGCAGGGACTCCGCACGGCAGCACCAAGGGTTCCCAGCCGAGTGCCCGGGGGTCAGAGAGCGGGGGCAGGGCTGGGCAGCCTGTCCACCGCCTGGCACTGGACACGGCTTCCTGAGCAGCAGGAGGAGCGGGGCCCAGCTGACTCTCCCGCTCTCCCAAGCTCAGAGCCACAGCCAGCTGTGACATCACAATGCTGGCTCTGTCCTCGGGACAGACCTGTGTGTGCAGAACCAGGGTCACCATGTCCTGTGGCCCCTGCCCCCGCCCTGCCCTCCTGGTCCAGTTCCATGGAGAAGGGGACAAGAGGCATCGGCCACCCCATGGGACTCTTGGGCCTCTGCTTCAAGCTGGTCACCTGGAGTCAAGGCGGAGGTCCTGATGACCTTGTGCCTGCCCAAATCCCTCCCGTCCCCTTCTGCCTGACTTTGGTGACTGATGCCTGGGCCCGTCCCCAGTAAGCCCTGCAGGCTTAGCTCCCCAGGACCCGGGGCCAAGCCTGGCCCAGTGCGGGCACCAGGCAGAAGGACTCAGGCCTTGGACCCTCCCCTGCCCATGGGTCAGCCTGTACCCCTGCAGCGGTTGGGCCAGGGTCACTGGGGGCACTGGGCCTGGTGCCCCTTCTGACATCCTGCCCTGCACCTGCCCTGCTAGCTGGCCAGGCTGACCTGGCCGGCTCTGTGGGGGCCACTGCTCAGGGAGGGAAGGGGGAGCTCAGGGAGGACAGAGGGGACGCGGGGCCTTGGGGAAGGGCAGAGCGGCCAGGGCTGCAGGAGAGCCAGGGCTGGGGGGAGCGGGTCTGTGGCTGGAGCCAAGCAGGCGTTGGCACCGGGGTGGATGACCACAGTTAATGGGGGGCAGAGGGGACCAGCTCACTGGGATTCTGGGCTGCTCCCCCACCCCCTCTCCTCACTCCCTCAACCCCCCGTCAGTGGGGAATGGACCCCGCCCCTGCCAGGCTGTGCCCATGAGCAGGCCCTAAGGGAGCCCCCGCCCCCGCCCCCCGTCCTAGAAACCAGGGCGTGTGGAGCCCACTGAGCGCGGCAGTGGAGGTCCCAGGCTCTGGTCTTGGGTCAGACGAGGGAGGGGACAGGTCCCTGTGAGGGGAACCCGGGGTAGAGGGCAGAGGCCCCAGGGCTGCGCTGAGGAGCGCTCGGGCGCAGCTGAGAGCAGGGAGCCGGAGCCAGCCGTGTCTGGGTGACTCTCCAGGACAAGGAGAAGCCGGTGGGAGGACATCTGCCAGCTGGGACCGCAGGGCAGAGGCTCAAGGGCACAAAAGGGCCTGCGAGGCCACCAGGCCACAGGCAGGGGACTTGGGCTGAGGCTGGAGGAGCTTCTGGCAGGCAGCAGTGTGACAGGTCACTGTCACAGAGAAGAAACAGATGGCAGGAGGGAGGGAGGTGGGGAGGATGGCGTCCTCTCTGGGTTCATTGGCTGAGCCTGGGCCGCCGCCCTGCCCTGGGCTTGACTGACAGCCCCACCCTGGGGCCTGCACCTGGCTGCTGCTCCGGGGACCAAGGGTTAGGGTTAGGGGACCAGGGAAGCCCCGGGAGCCAGGCTGGGGCTTTGCACTTCACCAGAGAGCAGCGGGCAGCTCTCAGAGGGAGTGTCCTGGTCACACGGTGCGTTTGAGCATGCTCCCTGACTCAGAGGGCAGGAGTGGAGGGGACCAGCAGCAGGGGTGGCGTCTGGGCACACCAGGTTCCACGCACTTTTTGTGGAGGGTTAATTTAATCCTCAGGACCCACTCACAAGGTCGAAGATGATATTTCACAAATGGGGAAACTGAGACGCAGAGAGGTTGAATAACTTGCCCAAGGTCTCACTGTTGGGAAATAGCTGAGTCGTCCTTCCAGGGAGTCGAGATCCAGACCATTCGGGAAGTTGAGTTGCTAGGACTTGGAAATGGATCAACAGGGTCCTATCGGGCAGGATATAGAGCTGGGAGGCTGTTCGCCACATCACCTGGGGGACCCGGTGCACAGTGAAAACGCCAGGCTGTCATTAAGGATCATAAGAATTGCAAGACGGGATAGCAGAGGAGAAAACGGAACGTGGCTCTTCAGCGCACAGACCCACGCGAGCACACTCGGGGCCCAGGAAGTCCGGGCCTGGGTATCCCACTCTGGCCTGCTCCTCCCAGGCCCTCCGAGCTGCCCCAGGGACACCTGCACGGCCCCGCTTGCTTCTCTCTCTCTCCCACGGACAGGCTTCGGCTACCTGCTGAGGACACACAGCTGGGGACGGCCCAGGTCTCTGACCTCTGCTCAGCCTCTGTGCCCTGGGGCAGAGCTGCCCGTCAACGGCAGTAGAATCAGTGAAACCCACCTTTCCAAAGGCCTGAACCCTCAGGGCCTGGATCATTAGGTGCAGCCAGAGAAGGGACCAGATCCAGCTTCCCTGCCCAGAATTCCAACCTCATCCTCAAAGCAGCCCCAAATGTTCCCAAGAGGGACAAAGCCAGCCTGTCTCCCGCCCAAGGGATGCTCAGGATGCAGAGTGAGGCTGCAGCTGTGGAGTCAATGGGAGACCAGCTGTGTGACCTGAGGAAAAGCACACAGCCTCTCTGAGCCTCAGGTTGCTCAAAGGCAGAGTAGAGAGAGGGTGAGGAAACAAACTTGGTCTGCTGATTCCACCTGAAGTTTCCGAGACAGGCATTTCTGGCCTCCTGCCCTGCTCACTGAGGGAGAATCTCCGCGGTCCACCTGGCCCTTCCCTCTGTCCTTGGCACATGAGAAGGCAGATCCGGCAGCAGCCCAGGGCCCAGTCCTGCTGCCCCCGGCTCATCCTTACCCTGCCCCGGGAAGGTTCTGGGCTGGGGAGTCACCAGCAGGTCCTGGGATACTCCAGGCCATCCCTGGCCCAGCTCTCCTGAGACCCGACCTCCGTGGGAGAGAAGTCAGACCCCGGGTCGCGGTCCACCGGGGGCTGGGCTTTCCAGTGTCCAGGGTCTCAGTCCCCTCCCGGCAGCACCTGAGAGGAACCACCCTCCAGAGGACAGAGGAGGGCCAGGCGCTCTGACCTCAGGGGCCAGGTCAGGGGCAGCCGGGGACATCCCTGTTTCCTCCTGTCCCAGAGCCTTAACTCGAGGTCTGGGGGGACAGGGGAGTCAGGCCTGGCCGACTGGGTTCAAGCCACGTCACCTTCCTGCTCTGAACCTGGGACGCAAGTTGTCCCTGCAAGGCCAGTGATTCTGCCTCCAAGACCTCTAGAGTCCCTCCTCCTCCCTCCGCTGACCGGCCTGGCCGCGGTCTCCCCAACCTGCACCGAGCCACTGCCTCCCTGCGCCTGCGGCTTCAGGCCCCTGCAGGCCGTTCTCCAGCCGGCCACCAGGGGGAGCACTTCTCAGAAAATCCAACCTCCCCCTTTCCCTGCAGAAAACCAGTGACCTGCAGGTGACTGCTCAGCAACGGGCTGTCCAGGGGGAAAGCTGTTCTTGTGGCCCTGGCCAGTTTCCATGGCGGGAATTCTCCCACTGTGGTTGACTTCAGGCTCCTAACAGTTTAACAACAAGGTGCCTGGAGGTGCAGCCCGCGTGTCACTGGGGCTGGTGGCCACTGCGTTAAATCACCAATGAAGTCAAATTCCCGCTGATGGGGCCCCGCCGTGGCCATCCCTCTCACGTTGGCTTTTCTGTCGCCTTTCCCTACCACAGGGCCTTTGCACCCATGGTTCACTCTGTCCACCTTGCCAGGCTCCCGGCTCTTACAGTGCCCTCTCCCTCTTGCCTTCTAGATCTCTGCTCAGAAGTCGCCTCCTCAGAGTGGCTCCCTGACCAATTACGGTCACCCCTCGGCACTCTGAGTCATCTCCCTCCCAGCTGGAATGTGACCTCCATGAGAGCAAGGACGGGGACAGATGGGTCCTGCTAGAGTCCCGGTGTCTAGGATAGCAGTGCACACAGCAGGCACTCAATCGATGCATGGTCACCAGCAGAGGTCTGGAGAGACATGGCTTTGGGTTTGGGTCTCGACTCCCCCACCAACGAGGGTAGGCGTCATGAGTCACAAATGTCTTCGAGTCTAGGTGTGCTCACTTGGGTGTGGGGACAGTCACAAATGTCTTAGTTTCGGTGTGCTCACCTGGGTGCTGGGGACGCCCTCGTAAGATGGAGCACGAGAACCTAGTGAGAACCCGGACAAGAGGCTCGGGACGGTTGTGTCACTCCAGGATCTCAGAAGTGAGAGCGGCATCTTCGCCTGCACAGATCCCGTGACAGGCATCGTGCCCCTTCCACGGTGTCCTCCTGCCCTAGGCCAATCTGACCATGGGGCGTCGGCCTTCCCCTGGGCTGAGTCCAGATCTGTCCTCCGTAGTGTCCCCCCCGTAGTTCCAGCCCCACTGCTTCCCCATGTGGGGAGTCTCAGTTCATTAGAGCCACTAAGGTTGGGACAGAGGTTGATTGCGTCCTTTCTCCATAACGATAGCAAATAGCGAGGTGGTCAACTGGTGAAGAGGGAGGGCTGATCTGGCTCTCA